CCCCAAAACCCCAAAACCCCAAAACCCCAAAACCCCTCTAAAAAATTTCATTGAAAATTAATTTAAAGTAAAGTCTAAATATAGCATTAAATCTCTAACTTGCTCAATTTATATGTTTAATAACTACGAACTTCATTCCTGATCTTATTCTTCTATTTTCTCATATTAAGTAACTATCTTGCCATCTGGATATAAAGTCTCTATTTTACCGTCATCGTGGACTTTTTGAATTTTATTTTCATGTCTAAATATTTCAATTCCCGAGTTTTAATAGCTTGTTTAAGTCACTTTTGAGTCAAAATAGTAATACACAGTTTTATACTGGGCAGGGTAAATCTGCTTCACATCATCGTTAATGAAGTATATAATCTCATATCCATCAGGCCATACTTCTTTCTTAACTCCATTATTATAAATGATCTCTTGCTTACCACTTGCATAGCTAATCTGTATCTTATCTTCATCCATTTTTGAGTAAGCTATATCCTACTCATTTAAACTTTAGTTGTGATACTCAGAAGGATATTTCATTGCGAAGTCATTTGATAATTCCTTGTAATTTAAAATATTCTGTTATATCTCAATTTCATCGTCCTTTATGCTGCTTACTTCAATATTTTCACATACTTCAGATTTTATTTCAGGCTCTTCATCTATTTATTCCATTGGAGGTATTGCTTGAGGATTATCTGATTATTTGATGAGGTATTCATAATAAAATTGCTCTAAGTGAACATTATTTAGATCTTTCATTAGAATTTAAAGTTCTTCTTATATCTTTTAGATTTATTCTTAGCTTTCAATTGAATTAAAAATATCAGGTTACAAATCATCCTAGAATTAGACTTTTTTTGATGATTTCTTCTTTGGTGTTTTATTATCATCTTTCTATTTATAAACCTTAATTCTTGACTCTTCATATATCATAATTTCAGCCTTATCAGTATTTTAACTAAATTCAATTTTATCTGGCTTTGCTTAAATAGCAATATCCTTAACTTAAATCTCTTTCAGTTTTTTTTCGCATTCTTATTTTAATTCTTCATTTTTTGTCTTTACAGTATTGAAATATTCCTAGATCTAATTGGATTATGCTTAAGCTTATAGATCAAGTTCTTAAAGTTCCTCTTAATATATTCTATTTTCAATTTAAAGCTACTCTAAATCTCGTTTGTGAATCTGCAGTAATTCTTTTTCTATTTGCACTTCCTAGAATTAAGTCTACTTCCACATGTACAAATTCTATTGGCCTTATTTTGTAATTAAAGAGGGGTCAATTGATGAAAGTTAGATTAGTTGGTTCTCAAGTTATTTCGATTTTAATTGCTCATTCATAGTTTGCTGTTTTTAGCTTTGAATGTCCTATTCTAATTTCTCAAGCCTCAACTCTCTCTCTAATTCTTCCTCGTAAAGCTCAAAATTTTCTGGTGTTGATGTCAATTGCATATCAACTCCTTATCTCGGTTAGAAGCATTAAGCATTGCAAAAGTCTTAAACAATGTCAAATTAGATATTGCTTCCTTGACTTAATTCCTTAGAATGAGGTATTTTATTTGATGATTTTCTTATGACTTACTTTTAGGGACTCTTTTTATGATTTATATCTTACTATTCTCTTTTTTTGGATATATTTCTTTACTGCTTTGATTATTGATCAGTTTACTCTTTAATATTTGGCAGCACCAAGTCTTTTTCTATTTTTCTATTATTTGTAGGTTACTATGTCATATATTGCCTTAGAATATTCTGATTATCTCTTGATTTAGTCTTTTGATGAAGATTTTTCATATTTTGATTGTTTTATGAAAATCTTGATGAAATTATAGAGTTTCTCTAAGTAGAAAGTTTCTAGACTTCATGATTTATATTGATCTTTTTAACATTTCTATTTTAGCTTGATGTAGCATGAATTATTTGAGGTTAGAGAACTTACTAGCTAGATTCAACTTATTCTTTAGACTTGGAATCCTTCTTTTTATGATTAATAAGACTTGATCTTGCCTTCTAAATTGAGAGTTATGCAGTTGATCTTGATTCTTTGAGTATCTTCTGAATCTATGGCTATGATCTTACTGCTTATTTCTATTCCTATTTCAATTCTTCAATCTTAGGAGGGCTGAATTGATCTTTCTTGGCTTATAAATATGTATGGTCAACTTTCTTAATATTATGTGAGGAATTTATTTTACTAAGTCTAGGAGAAACTATATTTGCTTATGTTTTACTATTTTTTGAATCGTTGACAGACTCTTGCTAAGTTATTCTATAAGAAGCCAAAGTACTTTTGAAATTACTATTAGTAAGGTGAGGCTGTTTGTCATCTTTTATTTGTGGAAGTTACTTTTTAACTTGCCTTATTGATTTATTTTTGTCATTGTCGAATTCAGAAAATCTTAGATCTTTTTAAGATTTGCTCATCCAAAGTTTCAGCGCTTTTGATTTCCTAAATCTGCTTGGACTTTCTAATTATGGTATATTTTAATCGATATTTGAAGATTAGGGTGAGTTCGGTATGCTATCTAAAACAAGTTCTTAAATAAAGGTCCTTGGTTGATCCTATTAAAAATTGTCGTCAATCTATTCTTTCTCTATGCTTTCTCTTGCCTCAATTGTTGATTGATAAGGAATATCCTCCTAAAAATTTCCAGGGCTTTGCTTGACATCTTAATTTTCTTATTCTATTTCAATTTAAACTTGCACTTCGCTTTCAACGAAGTTCACTTGATCATTTTGCTTAATGGAGCTATTTTTTGTTTCTATGCTCTCAGTATAAAGATCAACTTCGATACTCACATCTTTTTTTTCAGCCTCATATTTTAGTTAAAGTGGCAATGGTGTCAATATTTCTTCATCAGATTTTTTCTTTTGCAGATCAGTTCTAATTCTATCCTATTTCTTTGCAAGTATAGGTGTTATATCTAGAGATTATATTTCTGTTTGAGAGTGTTGTTAGATAATTGGAGGAACTTAGAGAATAGGTTGCTTTACTTCCTTTAATGATCCTCTTTTTTACATTGAAAATGGCATCTGTAATGGTATATTGATCATAATTTGGCTCTTGTCAATTTTCTTGCTTGGCGGTGAATCCTTCTTGAAATTCAATTCTTCAACTCTGGTAACTTAAGATGCAGAATTATAAGCATTAGATTTATGATTTCTTGATACTGCTTTAGACTACTTTTCCATAACTCCTACATTTTAACTGAGACTATGACTATTAACACGCAGTTTCTGAGTTTACTAATCTGTCTTAATCGGTGAATCTCTCTACGTTTTTTGCTGCATTTAAAGCATTGTCTTCATTAGATCTATTTGTTATTGTTATTATTAGATTATCATCTGTAAATATTTAGGGTTTTGAAGAAGCTAATCTTCTTGCTATCTTGAATTTGAAGGTTAATTAGGTTAAAATCTATGTGGCTAAGAAATGTTAGTGAATGCATTGGTTCCACTTACTCTCGATGAATTTGGGTTGGTATTGTTGTTGTATATGCTACTATTTACAAAATTACTCTGATTATTGTTGATGTTGCTGTTTAGAGATGAGTAATTCTCTTTCATTAGATTTATTTTATGTGACCTTCTTTAAGGAGAATCATACTCGGGAATAGTAGAATTAAGAAGTGTAAGATTACTGAAGGATTTATTAGACCTGATTCTTATCTACTCATTAAGATAGTTGTTAATCTTTTATTGATTCAGACCAATTTAGTTGGTAGTATATTATTTAGTTAGTGAATTATGCTGCTGTTATTATGGAGGACTCTAATATAAACGAGATGTTGCAGGCAGCAACTAATTTCCAATTATACTTGGGCTTAGATCATGAAGAGAGCTATACTGACTATAATCTAACCTATTATTTGGTTGGGGACTCTGTGGAGTGCTTAATCTTTTTCATAGATAATCTTAGAAACATAGAAGATAAGAAAGGTCCTATTACTACTGCTCCTTAGAAATTTGCATGTTTAATTTATTGAAAGAATCTATTAAATTTTAATTAATAATCACTTTAAAATACAATATTCAATTTTAATATCTAATTTGGGGTTTTGGGGTTTTGGGGTTTTGGGG